CATGTACTACAACAGTACAGGGACTTTGGCCCGATTTTCGAGCAACTTCATATCCAACACAATTAAGCCCCTTGCAACATTACTTTATACTAATAACAGCACTATATAAATGTTTATTAGTTATTACATTCATAGTAAATCCTAAAAAGGAAAAAGGAAGTGAAGGAAAAAGGAAGTGGTAATAGATAGTCTAAACCTAAAACCTGCCCATTTGCTGATACTAGCATTCTTAAGTGAATAGCAATAATGGCTGAAGGAGGTCAGTTCTCTTTATAAAGTGTACTAATCTTTTAGCACTGTACTGTAGGTAAAAGTGCTAATGATGTCTTTAAAAAGACACTACCAGTCCTCACTAAATCAATTAATGTTTAACATAATGTCACCTCCTCCACATTATAATGAGACACACATTAACTGATCAATCATTAGCTGATACTAATGGGCTAATGTTCATATACTGTACCGTATAGCACAAAAATTTGGAGGGACAAAAATTTGGCGAATTTGGAGAATAGAGTTTCATTCGCCAAAATAAAAACCGCCATTTTGAGCCTTTATACACATGCTCAATGGCACGTGGCCACTAATTCGCCAAATTAAAATCTGCCAATAACCAAAATTTAGCAATTCGCCAAATTTTACTCCCTCCAAAATTTCCGGCTATATGGTATATTACATACAGTCACTAGTCAATAGTGTCTGCTGGAGTAGAGGAGGAGGTGTCTGTTATAAGGAGTGTATCTGTTAATAGTATCACATTGTACTAATAATAGTGATAATAGTATTTAATAATAATTGTCTTTAATAGTTGTTTGACGTTCCCAAACTGTTTGACTGATCCCACTACTGTCACTAGTAATGTTATCATATCTTCAATGAGACACAGGATATATTATAATAATTGTTAGTTTTATAGTAACTGCTGGTAGTTCGTCAACAACAGCTGCTACTAGAGACTAATAAAGATCAATCATCAGGTAATGACATATTAATAAATGATCCAGTCACTGATGTACATTATACACTTAATGTCATCAATAGGAACTACTGTATCATCATATTGTTCATCATATACTGTGTTTGGTAATCAACTTGATTATGAATCAATTTGTAGATGTTGACCCGAAACCTTTAGAATCAGAATGGCGTTTGATAGGGATATAGTGTCTTGTATGGGTGAATAATTTGACAATATCTTTTGAACAGTACTAGATTCACAATTAGATCAGTAAATGCAATGGTACTAGATTTTACAAAAATAATGGTGGCGATGCATACAAGCATTTGAGGAGGACTATAGAAGCATGGCTAGAGGGAGAAGATAATGTAACTAGTAGAACATGGCAGACTTTGATAGATGCTGTGGAGGGAAGCAGGAGACCATGCAGCTGCTGAAAGAATACCTGATAAACTTTAAAACCCTTTATGATATTACACTTTAATAATGATAATAGCTAGTGTTGTGCTAGTTCCAACGGAACTAGAACTAAATCTATTTTAGTACACCTATTTTTTTCCTAGTTCTAGTTCCAAGAGCTAGAACTAGAACTGAACTACATTGATACAAAAAACCAAAACTAGAACTAAAACTAGAATTTGACAAATTAAAGCACTGGAACTAAAACTAAAACTAAAGATTTAGCTATTAAGAACTTGAAACTAAAACTAAAACTAAAATGTGCACTTGTAAATCACTAGAACTAAAACTAGAACTAAAACGCTACCCTTTTAATAACTGAAACTAAAACTAGAACTAAAATGGAGCCCTTTTAATAACTAAAACTAAAACTAGAACTAAAATGGTACCCTTTTGAATAACTAAAACTAAAACTAGAACTAAAATGCTACCCTTTTAAGTTATTAAAATTAAATTTCATTAAAAATTATAAAAATCACCTTAAAATGGTGTATTAGTAGGACTAAAACTAGAACTATAAGGCCAGAATCAGAATTTGGCATGGAACTAAAATTAAAACTAAAACTAAAACGGAAGTACTAGTAGAACTAAAACTAGAACTGAAACTAGAAATGAAGTACTGGTAAAACTAAAACTAAAACTAAAACTAGAAATGGAGTACTGGTAGAACTAAAACTAGAACTAAAACAGAAAATAGAGTACTGCACAACACTAATAATAGCATAGTACAATTTTAAATTATTATTATTATGAGTTAAAATGATTGGCATATCCTTTTGGCAGAGGTGCCAGGAGCTAGTAACTAATTGCTATCATTTCAAGTAACAGCAGGATAGGGGAAGGGCAGTATAAGGTTTGTTCCAGTACACAAGGAATGGAAAGGTGAATGAGTAAATCATATACTACTAAACTCTTTGGTAAGTTAAACACAGGAAGTTGTAAGTTTTGATAGCAATCAGATAGCAGGAGTATAATACCAGCAGTGTGTATCTGCTCACATTAGTTGTTGACAGTTGTTGAAAGTGTTCAGTAACAGAGCTTTCTTCTAAACTTTTGCCTGTTCTTCTCTTTGCAGCTGACTAACATGGAAAGACGTGAGTGCTTGACTATGTAACTATTCTATGTGCTAATATACTAGCATTATAACTGTACTCCTTGTGACAATGGTGTAGTAAATGTTTCAATAAATTTTTGATGATAATTTATAATAACAGTTAACAAACATAATTTTAGGACTGTACAATCAAGATTTGAAAGAAGTGAAACAAACATTGCTGGATGCTGGCTTTAACAAAGCTGAATGGGAAGACTTAGGGTTGGAGCTTGGACTGAATAAAAAGACATTGAGTGCCATTCAAGCAGATAAAGGCAACACTAATGCTTGTTTCACTGAATGCCTTTCACAATGGCTGGTGAGAGCTGATCGAGTTAATGAACGTCATGGAATACCAACTATGAAGTCATTAGTTGCTGCTCTTAAAAAAATAGGAAAGAAAAACGAAGCTGACTATATAAGTGAGTGCATAACAAAGAACATCTCAATACTTTAATTATGCATCATTATCCTCATCATGACAACAATGAAAATAATGAACATGAATGATATGAACTTATGATAGCCTTGCACCATTGTAATTAAAAAAATTAATGAATAAAAATTCATGATTAGCAGTAATTTCATTTACCATTAACTTGATTATTGGCAATACTCAATATTAAAGCAGTATAGTCACAAAGTAGATATTGCTGGATAGTTATACATGTATATGTTTATTTTAGGTGCTATGTTTGCAGGAAATTCATCAGAAGGAAAAAAACCAGCTAAAAGTACGAGAAACTATAACCAGCACTAGTACTATAATCGGCTTATCTCTATCCACTCTTGCTGCTACTCATAAAACCCCATGCATATAGTACTAATACTACTACAATACACATAAAGTGCTTTCTTTCAATGCTACTAATCTATTAAAGTGATCTTCTTTATGTTGTCCTCTTTAGATGGAGGAGCTCAAGCAAGAGCTGGTATTGAGGAAACTAATAGACCACCTACCCTAAAACAAAGTAACCAATTAATACCACAATACAGTAGTTTACTACATACTATACTATGTCTCAATTCTGTTTGGACCGGAAGTGGAAGCAGCTGCAAAGGAATTTGAAAATGTAGCTCATTCTCATTCCTATCCCACATTCCTATAAAAGCTATTCCAGTTTTTCTTGGTTCAAACTCAGTTGGGACATTACAATAATTCAGATCATGCATGCTATGTAGCTTGTAAGCTGGTTTGGTATATAACTGGTTGCAAACAAGTACTATACTCAGCTCCTAATTCAAGCAAATCACACACACTAATACTTGCATCATGTCTTGCATCTGAAAAGGACAAAAGTTAAGTGGTTTTCTTTCAGGCCCACGAGTCTGGCCAAATGATGATGAAACTGTAAAATGCGTAAAATGTTACATAGTTTGGTACTATATTTATTATTTCTTTACTTCTTAGAACTGACCATTGATAAGTTGACCAATGTGATACAACGGTTAGAGAGAGCACGTTTTGACAAAACTAAATGGCAGGACTTAGGAGGGACACTTGGCCTGCATCCTAATACACTGAGAAGGATCAATAAAAATGAAAGAGGTGACATTGAGGATTGCTTTAGAGAATGCCTTTCCAAGTGGCTGAGAAGAGCTGATAGTGTTGATGATGTTGGTAAACCATCTTTTAATACACTGGCTAATGCTCTTCACAAAATGGATTGCAAACCTCAAGCTGAATATATAAGTAAGTGTATAATAAAGACCAAATCATTATATCTTATTGCAACAACATTATTATACCTGTGTACCAAGCATTATTAATTACCATCTATTGCACCACATGCAATGACAAAAGTGTAGCTACTGTAATTAACATTGTAATTCAATACTGATACTACACGCAGCAGACATGAGTAGAGGTGAGTGTCCTCGGATGTGATATAGCCCTCGGGCTATATCACATCCGAGGACACCTGCCTCAGGTCTATATCTTCTGTATATGACCGT